TCGCTCGGCTCGGCACACAGCGCAGTAAAGGTCTAGGTCAGCGACCTTCCGAGCCTCCGTTTTATCAGAATCCTACATGACTGCCCTCCCTTTCTAAATTATGTAACAGTAGCAATAATGTCACACGCCATCAGCGCCGTTGTTACGGCTCAACGGCCTTACATCGGGGACAATTAGCCACATGTCAGGACCGATCCCTATGGTCTTAGATCAATGAATGTTATGGTCGCAGGATGGAATAGCTTCGAAAGCGAATGTGCATTTGTCAGCATTTCCAGCCCTTTACCTAGCACCGCACTGGCTCAAAATCGAGGTTAGTGTAGCGGTAATGCATCAGAGAGAGAACCCAGTTTGAAACTTGGTCAGATTTCCTGTTTTTCTTACTGTCTTTTTTTCGTAACATTGCTCACCATGTCCAGTAAAGACTAGTCCTTTCAGTCAACTGACCAACGCCTCCTACATTCACAGATCGCAAAAGCTGATTTCGACCTATTCGTTCTACATGGTCGTATTTAATCTCAATTGATGCTGTATATAACCTCTGCAAGTGAAAATACGAAGCTAATAACCCAAGAAGCAAGCAGCCGAAAGCCTCACAAACCTCAAAACAAATCAGTTCACAAAGAGGACATAGATGACTATTGATTTCCATTAAAAAATGTCACGGGGCCTAAGCACCAGGCTACAAAGGTGTATAGGGAACGTAGGAGCAAATTTCCATGCAGTCATAAATCCCGGCACAAGCTAGAACTGCACTCTTCGTACCAACTGTGTAAGAAACTGTTTGACGAAAGATAATTCTTAAGGCGCGTCCACATTACTCGTGCTCTTGCTTGCCAGGCTTGTGCTCGTCTGGCTTTCACTTGTGCCCGTAAATCTTCGTCCACACTACTTCAGTTGCTCGCCAGGCTTCGGCGCGTGAGGATCCGTATATTTACTCGTAGTGTGTTTAGGCTGTAGTCGTATTTTAATTTGTTGGCTATAGTTTTTAAATTAAAAATTTAAAATTCGCTTGTCTCGTAACTTGTCATATCGTCCACATTACTCGCGAGCATAGCGAGTCACACGAGCACGAGTAATGTGGACGCGCCTTAAATGTGTGTTGTGGACAGTCCAGTGGGCTAAAAGTGAGGTTCAGTTGTGACTTATGGGTAGACTTGATGGGCTAAAAGTGAGGCTCAGTTGTGACTTATGGGTAGACTTGATGGGCTAAAAGTGAGGCTCAGTTGTGACTTATGGGTAGACTTGATGGGCTAAAAGTGAGGTTCAGTTGTGACTTATGGGTAGACTTGATGGGCTAAAAGTGAGGCTCAGTTGTGACTTATGGGTAGACTTGATGGGCTAAAAGTGAGGCTCAGTTGTGACTTATGGGTAGACTTGATGGGCTAAAAGTGAGGTTCAGTTGTGACTTATGGGTAGACTTGATGGGCTAAAAGTGAGGCTCAGTTGTGACTTATGGGTAGACTTGATGGGCTAAAAGTGAGGCTCAGTTGTGACTTATGGGTAGACTTGATGGGCTAAAAGTGAGGTTCAGTTGTGACTTATGGGTAGACTTGATGGGCTAAAAGTGAGGCTCAGTTGTGACTTATGGGTAGACTTGATGGGCTAAAAGTGAGGCTCAGTTGTGACTTATGGGTAGACTTGATGGGCTAAAAGTGAGGTTCAGTTGTGACTTATGGGTAGACTTGATGGGCTAAAAGTGAGGCTCAGTTGTGACTTATGGGTAGACTTGATGGGCTAAAAGTGAGGCTCAGTTGTGACTTATGGGTAGACTTGATGGGCTAAAAGTGAGGCTCAGTTGTGACTTATGGGTAGACTTGATGGGCTAAAAGTGAGGCTCAGTTGTGACTTATGGGTAGACTTGATGGGCTAAAAGTGAGGCTCAGTTGTGACTTGTGGGTAGACTTGATGGGCTAAAAGTGAGGCTCATTTGTGACTTATGGGTAGACTTGATGGGCTAAAAGTGAGGCTCAGTTGTGACTTATGAGTAGACTTGATGGGCTAAAAGTGAGGATTAAGTGTTTGTTGCGGGTAAACTGTCCACTTTAGGTGATTAGACTGGGTAAGCCAAACTTAGGGCTCAAATGGATGTTGTGGGTGTCTGGGTGGGCCAGCAATAAGGCTCAAATATGGATAGAGCTGACTGGCCCAAGTAAAGCGCGAGTGTATGATGTAAGTGATATGTGCTGTGGGTTGCAGGCTGCGGGAAGACAACGCTGCTCAATTGTCTGTCGGGGCGGGTGAAACTGGACTCTGGCAGCATTCGTCTGAACCGGGAGCGACTCAGCAAGCGCTGGAAACGGAAGATCTGCTATGTGTTACAACAGGATATCTTCTTCCCCGACCTCACCCTCAGACAAACCCTCGAGGTAAGTCACATCTTCGTACTGACTGGTACAGTCCCGGCAATATGAAGTTCCCCCAAACAGGCATTGCGAAGCCTGGGAACTGACCTACACATGTGAAAGCACAGTGGAGTGTCTTGTCTGAGTATGATGTTATGTTCTAAATGCGTAATTGGTTATTTTCTTACATCGGTGACCTTGATAATTTATTGTAGAAACAAATATTGATTGATATGATTTATTTTCCGGTCTAGAGAACCGAGATTAACGATCANGGTTATTTTCTTACATCGGTGACCTTGATAATTTATTGTAGAAACAGAAATATTGATTGATATGATTTATTTTCCGGTCTAGAGAACTGAGATTAACGACAATTGGGATCCTTTGCGCTGATCACGTGACACCCTCTATCCGCTAAAGTTGGCACTAAATTCGCCGACAAGCGGCGGTTGCCAAGGAGTTTGTTTTATTTGTTTGTTTATGATTTATTTAACGACGGTGTCAACAGCGCAAAATGTATAGAGTGAAATGATAGGACAATTAATACATAATGAAATGTGAAGGGACCTTGCGGATTGGCGCAGCTCTCAAGGTTCGTATTCGGATGAAGCTGGCTTGTAAATAATATATAGCTAATCGTCCGTCATCCTGCCTTGATGCGCTGTTTGGGCTAGCTACCGACGTTCTCGTTCAAAAACCTACAAAATGGAGTGTGGAAGGAAGTGGCCGTGACCTGTGTGAAGGGACGGAGAAACTGCAGAATGGATATTCTGCATCCGGACCTCAGTAGCAGAGCCACTGGCTCGGCCGATATATTCGACTGAGGAAGCAATAACTTATTTGCTTCTGTAAACTGCGATGTATTTAAACTAGGTTTAAATTTCTTCAGGTTCTGATGTGGTCCCTTCTGATTACGAAAATAGTGAGTGAACATGCTGAGCACGTGGAACCCAAAAGGCAACACACTACTTACGAGAATATGAATACGGACGAACCCCAACTTTTCTCTCTCCTGGGGTGGGACTGAGTCCAATTGCTACCGCGGCCACTGTTTTGTTCTGATGTACCAGTACCAGATGATAGGTGGTGATGATTGTGGAGCACTCGGTGGAATGAGAATTGGCAGGGGAAACCGAAGTGCTCGCAGGAAACCTACCCCAGTGCCCCTTTGTCCACCACAAATCCCACATGACCTGGGCTGGAACCCGGGCTGTCGCGGTGGGAAGCCGGTGACTAACCGCCTGAGCGCTACTGCACGGCCAACCCGAACGTTTGTTTTTTGAAATGTGTGTGTGAGTTGCATTTATCTTCCTTCATAAGACATATCGACAAACTGGAGTCGGAATAGCGACAGTCTACTTTCTGCGTTCTATTCCCGACGGGGCAAGATTTTTCTTTTCTCCACAACGCACAGACAAGTTCTGGGGCCTATCCAATGAGTACCGGGGACTCATTCCCCGGAGGTTACGCGGCCGGGGCGTGAGGCTGACCACTCACCTTAATTTAGTACTAAAATCAAGAATGGTGGAGCATTATCTCCAGTAACTCATAAGTCTTCAACGCACAGTGCTAATTAATTAAGCACAGGAACAACTTTAACTCTTCATTGTCAAATTTGTTAAAGTGTTCGTAAGTGCGGGACTTTGTGTTCGTGAATTGAACTGGGAACCGCAGTGAAATGTTCATAAATACGACTTGGTCGTTTCCTGAAAGTTCGTAAGTAGAGGTTCGCCTGTACTTGTTAACGAACATCAATGAAGTTCCTACGTTACATAAGCTTATTTCACCAAACCATGATCCCCATTCTGTTGGTTTTGTTGCTCGGAAACCAGGTTCCTGACCCACAGAAACCAATATATGCGCTGCGCTGCACGTGTGAAGCCTCCGCCATATTACATTGTTCAATTCACTGGCCTCAACCTTGAAGTTAGCAACGAACCTTACTTTAGACACAGAATGACGTTCGCCTAAGCAAGAAGCGAACTGGATATTTGTAATGAACTGACAAAAGAATGACAGGAGACTTGTTTATTGATGTTTCTGTGCTCTAATGTTTATGTACCGCACGTTCCCTCAGTTCCATGCATAAAACAAAAGGCATAACTGCTGTATGCTGTGTATTAGACATGCTGTTATGGACTCGATTTGTTTTGCTCTTCTTTTTGTATTTTTGGGTTGTCTTAGCAGATAGCATAATTAAAAACACGTATTAAACTGCTTGATTCCTACATTAGTTGTAACACTCCCACGTAAGTGCCGCAGGATTCCAGACAGACTTGTTATCATTATCTTGCAGTGGTTTACTATAAACCGGCATAATTGTCTCAGTACAAGAGCAAAATAACTGACAGTGCTGGCCAAGAGGATTTGTAGTGAAAGTTGGCACTGGGGAGATTTTTCTCCTACTATTTGGATTCTAAACAAAAAACTAAATTCCGTGGCTTGTAGTCTACAAGCGAACTATACCGACTCCGCTTTTCGGGGAAGTTTTTTTTATTACTAGTGAGGTGGGACTAAGTCCCTTGTACTGCGGCCACTTCTGGACTATTGTACCAGCCCCAGATGATAGATGATTGTAGAGCAATTGGTGGAATGAAGATTGGCAGGGGAAACCGAAGAACTCGGAGAAAACCCGCCCCCAGCGCCACTTTGTCCACCACAAATCCCACTTGACCAGACACGGGTTCGAACCCGGGTCACCGAGTTGGGAAGACAGTGACTAACCGCTTGAGCTACGGCGCGGCCCCTTCGGCGAAGTTAGTGCCAACTTTTTTCCTTGCTAATTATCGTCCCACCAGCCCACCAATCAGGGCTCATGTAACATGTCGAACTACTAAGAGACTCAAGCAAAGAACTCCATGGAATATATGGCCCTTCCTGAGAAGCTAAATATTCTGTCAGACAAGAAATTGTTCGTCTATTATGGAACCATAAGGTTCATTCCATTGTTCACCAGAGCCGAACACTGGTACCTGTCGCGAGCCAGATGAACCCAGATTACATCACCTCACTATTTAAGATCCATCGCATTGTTATCCTACCATTCATGCCTAGATATTACAATAAATATTTTAGGAAAACAAAACCACACATTGACCGCTGAGGGAAATATTAGGTGCAGATGCGGCAACTGACGAATCCTTGTATTTATTTATTTATTTATTTATTGACAGTTTCAAATTGCTAAGATTTTACAGCATCGAATGATAGGATGAATAAAAATGAAGAATTGGAAAGGATATATACTACAAGGAATTGGTCGTGGCTTACTTTGCGGTTTTATGTAGGAAGTTGCCTGCACGAACTAAGGAACAGCTTAAAAACTCTCAGGCAGGATAGCTGTGCTCGGCCCGAGTCTAGAAGTCGTTGAGATATGGCGTGATAAATTTGCAGTCAGAATGTTTGTTTTGTCCGAACGCTCCCCCCTCCCCCCGGTCACTACTACCCGCATCTGGTGGCTGTGGGTTCTTTCGGCATTCAAGTCACTCCTCGCTTATGACTTGAGAGTTTTAGTAGCGACGTGCTACTGGCATTTGTTTTGACAGATCTGAAGGAAACTACGACAAAACTTAGCGTAGAAGACCACTAGATTTTCTGCAGACACATTACGAATAAAATCGGTGCTGGTCGGACCACAGAACTTGTTTCCTGCGGAACACTAAAGTACCTGAAAATTTTTTTCTGTTTAAGAAATGTTTCCGTTTATAACATCCACAGACACTGCAAGTTTCATGTACAACCCGGTTTAACTTTAAAAGGCTTGAAGCTTTTTACCCACACAGTGTAGATTCACACAGTTAACGGCTACACGTATTATTTCTAAACGGCTAGTCTTTGTAATGACGCAGCAGGGCGTTTTCTGCTTAGTAAAAACTTATTTTATTTCATATAATTTAGATGAATTTCAGGTATCCGAATATTAAGATAGCCAGGCTTTCTGAAGTCTTCACTGAAAGATCGCATGGCCCATACCACAAATTTTTTAAATCTAATTCCTGGATTTCATGAAATCTATGCACATTTCACTGATACTAAATGGCGCATGTTTTCAGTCTTTCTGTAATTTTTCAATAACCATATTCTGCTGGTACTTTCTGCAAGTCTGAGCTAAAATCTTTCTAATCTGTGACGAAATATTCCTTCTAAGATAAGTTACATAGAAGTTACGTGAGCAGTAAACTACACTTATGTGAACAGTTTCCTGATAATTATTTCTTATCTTCTGTGTCAGATTTAAATAATTTCCGTTGTTAGAATTCTCGGTCTCCATCGCTTATTCNTTCGAGAGGATATGTAAGATTTGAGGCTTTCACGGCGGTGACTATGAAGAACGCAGTCTTCTGGGATTTGGCACCGTGTATATGTGGTGTTAACCGACGTTTCGGAGGAACGTATCGCCTCCGTAACGTCGGTTAACACAACATATACACGGTGCCAAATCCCAGGAGACTGCTTTCTTCATAGTCACCGCCGTGAAAGCCTCAAATCTTACATATCCTCTCGAAACCGAAGATATTATACATTAAATGCTTTACGTTTTAAACAAGTGTTACGGTACATTTATTTCAGCTTTATTTTTTTACCGTCCACTTTCTCCTTGTTGCTCCGAATGCTCCCCCCTCCCATCCATTGCGAGGGAGGGAAAGTACACGTACTTGTATACAGCAACACGAGCGAAGGCTTAGCCGTTCTGCGTGTTCACAGATCATTGATTATATGTGTAATAAGCACAGAAGTGATTTCCAAGGCTACGAACTTCACATTCACTGACCATCTCACACAGTTTCCCATATGTTGATGTATTTAACCCTCTCCATGTCCGACATATTGGTTTGAAATCAGGCATTAGTTTATTTTGTTTTGTGTGTGGCAGTTAAAACAACTTAACATGAATCTCATGGCACTACCAGCTAACCAATAATTGCAGCTATATACAAATTTATTATGTAAGTTCCAGTGAAAATAAATATACACCTTTATCCTAAAAATTAAGCATGAAAGATTTATGTCCTTATCGTAGCTTGTAGGTAGCGCCTAATCGTATTTGTTTAGACTATCTGCGTTACTTCCTTGTCGGAGAAGTTTCCTACGTATCACGGCGATATCAACATTGAATTGCAGCTCTGAATGTGACGCAATGCTTCAATTTGCTGCCGTTATTGTATCAACCCGTAACGCTACTGGCGAGAAGACTTAAGTTAGCAATCCATACATATTTCTAAAGGTAACAGGTAAAGCTGTCACTGTGCTTCATGAAGTATCACACCTTAAGACTTACGGGGGAGTAGAAACAGGACCATACCACCACGCATTCGTAATCTTGACGCCGTTTTCACACCCCAACTGTTTTACCCTATGGAAAAGAGCCTCCGGTGCCAATTGGATGAGAGGTCGGGTCGGCCCAGGATGTAGCCTGGACGTGGCGAGGAGAAAGCCCTCTATCCTAACCAGGAATTGAACCCAAAGTCGTCCAGGTCATAGCCCAGTCACTATACTAAGCTAATGCACCTGCCTGTGCGTAGTGTGGATCTTTAAAGTACTTACAAACAAATAAACAGAAAGATTTGTTCAGGTAGTAATTCTTCATCTAAATTCAGGTCAGAAATCTAATAACAATAGTGACATTGGTTAGACTACGATGATGATGATAGTTATAGTGATAGTGATGGTGATAAAGGCCTGAAATTGTGTTCCTGTCTTGGTACTGCAGCATGTAGATCCGTTGCTAAGTAATGGCCGTGAACAGCAACAAAAGAATTGTATTCTCTACGTGGCAGGAGCGATAGGCACATGATGCTACAATAGAAGAACTGTTGGGAGAGTGTTTTCTGTGCGGTCCGTGCCGAGGCTAAATAACGAATTGACTTGGTTAAGTCCGACGTGTGGAGGCGGGGTCGAATACCTCCACCGTGACCCTGCGAGTCGTAGGAGGCGACGAAAAGGGAAGTCTCAAATCTGAGACAGTAAAATATGGTCGTGAGTACAAAGGGACTCGGACCCGAGAAAGACTGCGCTGGCAAGGGCCAGCAGCATTTACGAAAGACAGGACCGCCCTCAAGTCAGAGAGAGCACCCCACAAGAACAAGACCGTAACTGTCAAAACAGTAATAAATATCTGGTCATGAGCCCCATATGAGGCTCGGAACCAAGACGTACTGTCTAACTGACCGTCAGTCACATTGTGACTTTGACTTTGATTTTGAAGGGCGTGAACACAGAAGCTGAGTAAGCTACGGCCTTGGAAGCCGTCACCAGGCAACAAGCGGTTAAGATGCAGCAGACTCAGAAGACTTGGTACTTGCTGCAATAAACTGCAGAGTGTGAACTAGCGTTAGCGCTATAGCTATTTGTAGTTACGTTGTGTAAATGTTCAGTAAGGTCAATTACTAATCCAAACCCCGTCTATAGTCACTCATAGAAGCGACAGTATTATATCAGCCCAGAATTAAGGTTGTTTTCCTTCTCAGGACCACAATATGTAACAGTTACAACTTTTAAAATGAGTGTCACTCAAATTAAGAAAGCACAGCCTATATAAGTAATTAAAAGAATATTGCAAATGAGGACTGGAACCACAACCAGGAGATCTACCACCATACCTGTACTTAACGTCATCAGTAATGGCTACCACACACTTACACAAGAGAACGGAGTAAAATTCATACTATTCTGTCTATCGTGTCGGTGGAAGGAAATTGTAGAAGCTTTTTAGGATTTGAGGTTCTCACAGCGGTGGTTATTAAGAGTTACATCTTCTGGAATATAACGTCGTATAGTCCGTTGAATGTCAACCGACATTTCAGAAGAACATATCGCCTCCATCTTCGCCGTCGAAGAATACGCCAAGCAAGAAACTGGCATGAAGCAGGTGGCTTGATGTAAGTTGACTGCATGATGTTGTTTCCGATATGGTAAACTTTCCAGAATGAGCTTCATTTTTATATGCATTGAATTCAACTGTGTGAAACGACGTCTCGAAATTCCACTGGGGATTTGTGTGTGCTCTGGAGCCATCAGTGATCATTGTGTCATTTGGGATTCGTTCAAATCTACATTGCGTTATTCATATGCAGTATATGACATTATTCTGTCCCTGACACTTTCGGTATGAAAATTTAAATGCAGTAATATGAACTGCTCTTCCAGTAAGTGCCCAGAAACTCAGATGAAGACGCGTTCTTGAATGTAAAAGTCTGGATCTCTTAAGCGAGAAACCGAAGTTCCATTATAACAATGTCAAGTTTGCAAGTTGGTCAGCAAATTATGTTGCAGCTATGAAAAACTTTTATATATCTGAAGCCTGACTTAACGAAAACATAATTGACATTCAGCCGTTTTGAATATCAAAGCTCAGATTCATATGACTGAAATTATAATTCATATTGTCACGTGGACACCCAAAGCGTTTCTAGGCAGCGGCTCGATAAACACGTTCCCGTCAATACGCAACAATGGAAACTGTGTTCACTGTGGTCTACGCTACAGTTAGTTGCTATAGTGACAGCCATGAGCTGTCAGGTTCAAGACAGAATTAGTTCACGTCAGTTACGAGCGACAGAACCTATTCAGAGCAGAATTCATGAGTTAGGAGTTATGAGTGAATAATAGGGACAAAAGGATGTGAACAGAGGCGAGAGGATTTGGAACGAAATGGATTATCGTATTAATATCTGTCATGTGACAAAAGGCTCACGCATAGAACATTTGTAACTCAGTCATACAAACTTAAAGATATATACTAAAAAACCATGCAAGTATTTTGGCTATATCAATAATACTTTGGTTTCTATAAAACTTTTAATATGTCTCTTTCTTTTATAGTAACCCTGTATAATGCTGCAGGTATGAATGAAATACATATACATCTCAGTAAGCTGAGATCCAAGCGGCCTCCGTAGTCTAGGGGTAACGTTCCCACCTCGTGAGTCAAGGTACCCGGGTTCAAACCCGGCGGTGGTCGTGGAATTTTTAAGGGCGGGAAAATTCATGGAACAAGTCCTCCGGGAGGGACTTTAAGCCGTGGGTCCCGTGTCGTAGGTCATGTCCCAAGGGGACCACTGAGCCAAATTCAGGACATTTCCCGCCCAACAGTAGTCTCAAACGCCTCTGGTAGATGGGGAAGCATCGAGATACCGCTGAGCCAATAGAGGCCGAACTTGCTGGCTGAGTTGGGACTGATGGCACGCACCAGTACCGGTAGGGAATAGAGACTGGTAGAATATTATAGGGGGATGCACAATGGACATGGGGAAACCCACCTCCAAGCCCTGGATACGTCTACTTAACATGTGATGAGACCACTATTAAGGGACTAATTACATTGGTTTGGTTTTGCCTTCATCTTACTTTTCCTTCTTTTATGTGTGATACATGGCACTGGCTTCCAAATTTCAGTCACATCACTCTTCTAATTGTATTTTTCATTTTGACACCATTTCTTGAAGTGATCAGTTATCCTTGTATCATATCATGAATGCAGGACAGATACTGGCATGGCAGTATGATACATGATGGCAGTATGGCATGATACATAAGGTATCATTGACACAGTTACAGGTAAAAGACAGATTAATTTAAACTTTAATTTATAATTTAATATGTTAAATGGTGTTAATGGTGTATATATGTGTGTGTAAATCATGTGTTTGCCTGATGATGGCTATCAACAGCCGAACATGTAGCAGGGCCGAAGATGGTCTGATCTTGATATTAGTTGTGTTGTGACAGATATAATAAAGAGGTTGTATATGTTAATTGCTTTGCAGTATGCAGCTCGTCTTAGGTTGCCTGACAAGCTATCATATTCTCAGAAAATGCAGTATGTGGACCACATCATTGACGTGCTGGAGCTTGGTGGATGTCAGGACACAAGTATGTCACTTCCTTTGTCATGGGCTTGATTAATTTCATTATATAGCAGTTAATGTGAGGTGTACAAAAGAATGATCTGAAGTACCTTAGTGGTAACTTGTTTGTGGCTATTTCAGGATAGGGACAAGTGATGGGCTTTTATTCCATTTGAGATCCAGCTAAAATTAATATCGTTGGTTTTGTTTGGATTTCAAATATGCTCTCTTGCTGTAAGAGAAAAACATAAATTGCTACTTCTGGAAAATAGTTGGGTCCCATGTGAGTGAAGAGTCTAGGATATTACATAATGAGGAACGTCATTTACACGGTTCACGTCCCCTTATTAAGACAGTAATATCTAGGTAGCTGAAGTGGGTTCTGCATATAGCTAGTGTAGAAGAAACTATGAAACTATGATGGTGAGTGGAGGATGGGAAGTGGACAGAACTGGATCAGTATCATGCCCATTGGTGGGCTTTGACATTAGCAGTGTTAAAATTTTGTGTTTTGCTACCAGAGGGGTTTTAATTTCTGCAAAATGAAAAAAATTACATGTTTTATTTCAGTTCAGACAGCAAACTCTGTGTAATACTCGTATATGTGTGTATCTACAATATAGGCTACTACCAAAACCCAGAGTATTTTACAAAACATATTTGTGTTTGCAGTTATTGGTGACTATATTAAACGTGGTCTTTCTGGTGGTGAAAAGAAGCGGGCAAATATTGCATGTGAACTTCTCACAAACCCATCACTCATGCTGCTGGACGTAAGTATGCAGTAGCCACTGATTTGGCTTAACATTGCAGTTCTTAGAACATTTACTTGAAAAGGCAAGAGACAGCTGTGTCACAGTTCAGGCAGCTACTGGCTGGCTTCTCACCTCACAGTTCAGGGTTTAGTTCTAGGGCACTCTGTTTGGGATTCACAGTGGATGAAGTGATGCAGGTTTTTCCCTGTCTGCATTAGTTTTCCCATGCCATTTATGAGTCCACCATTGTTCCATAGTCTGTATCGTAAGGGACTGGTGTAATAGGACCATCTGAGGCTACAGTAGCCCACTCCACCTAAGGTTATTGACCTCTAATTTCATGTAACAGTGATCGATATATACATAAAAATATTATTATTACTAACAACATAGTAAATGTCAAATATTTTTCTCTTTTTAACAGAGCATGCTTGAAGGATATAGAATGATATCTTATAAAAATAATGAAGATATTAATAACCTGAGAATAACAGATATCATTATAATTTTAAGAAAGTGTCAAGATAAATGACTAGAACGGTGATTTCCAGATTTTGACACTATAATCACAATTTTATGCGCACTTAGGGTGGAAATATTACTAAGTCAATGGGCTCTTAAATTCCTCTTTGTATCCTTATATGCCCCATCAGAAGGAATGCATGAAAACCGATCCCCAGAGCTGGTGTATAAATGTGAAGTGAATTTCTTATCTTTACTTCTGTAATTTTAAATACAATTTTTATCTAAGGGTTTTAACTTCAAATTTTGCCCAAGATTTGTTATACATTTACATTAGAATTTAATTTCAAGGTACAATAAGGATCCTTATTCAATGAATAACATGACAATTGATTGCAACTCAACAGCTCAGACTCGTGCATTGTATGCCTGAAGATGACCTGTGAAAGCAGAACGAACTTTGGAGATAGATGAAGAACTGTGTGCTTGCTTTATAGACTGGCAGAAGGCATTTGACTGTGTAAATTGGATCAAATTAATGCAGATCCTAAAGGGAACAGGTATCGTTTGGTGGGAAAGAAGATTGATTAGTAAATTGTACATGGATCAGAAAGTTAGAGTGCGACTGGACAGAAGNGGGGGAGACAGGAAGTGTGAAGATTGGAAGAGGAGTTCGACAAGGATGCTGTTTATCACCAATTCTGTTCAACTTGTACAGCGAATGCCTTACCAAGGAAGCTCTGGATGGGCTCGGTGACTTCAAAGTAGGAGGGCAAATTATTCAAACTGTGAAATATGCAGATGACCTTGTGTTAATGGCTAAGGAAGAAACTGTGCTACAGGGTATGATTGATAGACTAATCGAAATTGGAAGGTGCTTATACCCATGTTAACACTTTTAATCCTGAAGTTCACCTAAATAATGAGCCCAAGCATAATAGACCACTATAGGTTGCGGTGCAGGGGCCAAGAAGGCCTACCCCTCATACATTCATTCATTCAAATAATGAGCCTTCATTACAATGACCAGCTGGTTAAATGGAAACAGTCATTATTTATGCTGAGAATTATATGAAATGCATATACGCACTGTGTTGGCAATATTAATTTCTTTTCTTAATTTTGAAACAGGTGGAGCATTGCTTCACTGGCTTATAGTGGGATACACTTTGCATAAGCCATCTAGTGATAGTTTATCAATGGAAGGGATATGGTGGCATGAAACGAAATATATGGGTATAGAGAAGGAAAAATTTAGAGCATTTTAAGGTTTCAGCATTGCCTTGAGGAATTGAAAAAATTAAGATAATTATTTTTCTTACAAACAGGAACCCACATCAGGTTTGGATTCTCATTCTGCATACAGCCTCATGTCAAGCCTCAAGCGGTATGCAGAGAAAGAAGGCAAGACAGTGGTTGTTACAGTACATCAACCATCCTCTCAAATATTCCACATGTTTGACAAATTGCTCCTGTTATGTAATGGACAGGTATGCCATGTTTACATTTTCTGTTGTGACATTGTAACATACCCGAATTGTTTCCACCACTTAGAGATCTAAATATGAATGAGAACATGAAATTATAATGAATCTTAAAGAGATAGTTATGAATTGGATTCATTTGGCTCAGGATAGGAATCAATGGCAGACTTTTGTGAGCACAATAATGAATGTTTGAGAAAATTTCTTGATTAGGTGAGCAGCTGTTAGTTTCTCAAGGAGACCTTTCCTCCATGAAGTTAGTTAATTGGTTAATTTTGTTCCACTCCATGCCAGATGTGTCTGAAATGCTAGCATATTTAAAATAAAATTCATTATACTCTCAGTCTGTCTGCTGCAGTCTTCCCAAGCCTTACACTCCATTCTTCTCGAAATGTAGGGTGACAGAAAAATTGAACCCAATCACCTTTACTCAATACTGTCAGATGTATATATGGAGACTAGACTGTAGGTTAGATGGCAGTAATTGGTTAGATTCCCAGCAAAGACAAAACATTTGTCTCTTGTCTATAGCATCCAGACAGACTTGAGGCCCAACCAGCCTCTTGGCCAGTGGGCACTGGGAGCTCTTTCACCAGGAGGAAAGCAACCAAGCTAGCCTGTCACCTCTCTCTGGTACTAAGTTTAAGACTGTATGGAACTATACCCACTCTCTCATTTACCTTCATAGAATGGTGCCTGTTTTTTGTCATTAGAAAGTACTCACTACAGAACTATCACAATAATGTTCCTGTCATACAGCCTAACCCAATGTAACCCTAAGACTACTCTGCCCCAGCTGTTCTTATGCGTGTTTGTGAATGCAACACATTTTCAGAACTGATACCTCTAGTCTTTTATGTGGGTGGCTCGTGTGTCACATTGCATCATCACATTACTTTTGCTGCAATGTAAACCATTTTTGAAGTGCTTTCAATCTGTCTCACAAATGATTGACTTACAAATGAGCTGCAAGTTCATTGTTTATGAATGAGAGGAAGGGGGTCAAGGAGAATTGATATGCATCTACTCTGTATGTGAGACACATTGATATTTATGAATACAAAAGAATATGATTTCATTGTCTTTCATTATTGAATTGTGGTTGTTGCATTATGTAATGCAGATTTCATACCAAGATTTCTGTGCTTGTGTACTCATATTTCTTGTATTTTAGTGCTAGGATTATTGAGAGAAAGTGAGAAGGGTTGAGTAAGAAGTGCATCACAATTGACTTGAGAACTCGAATCAGCAGGTGTTAGTGATGATAATAGTCTCTCGATACTGACAGTTTTGTTAAATAACTATCTTTGAAAAAGGAAGGACTGAAATCCACTGAGCATTTTCATGTTGTGTGCACAGCAGTTTTCCAAGAATGGGTGGATGTGACAATCATATATCATCAATATCTATGCACTCATAAGAAAGGATCTTACCCCCTATCTGACATGAGAGTGAATGAAATGTGCTTTTTTTGGCCCTAGCCATAGAGATGAGACACGATTTACCAGAATTTCTGAAGTGTTCACAGACTGTAGGGGAGTTCCACACACATATATGTATTGTGGTCTTCAGGGTCATGACACCGTGCAGTCTAGTACCTGGGTACCAACATTTCAGAGTAACTGGAAATGTATACAGATATCTATATCTTGATTACCATACACCTTACAAAAAAGTTACTTTAAGACGCAATGTTTTTGGCTTGTGTTTGGGAGGTGATTGGTTTGAATCTTGAAGTAGTTTGTACTTTTCCTGGGTTACTGTAGGCAGATATCAGGGTAATACCACAAATTTGACCATGACCACGACCATGATCACATCCCTTTCAATTATTATTCACTAATCATCTTACAATTCAACTCTGTATTTCAGCATCCCATTACACATCCTTAATCAAACATCTATGTATTATTGACGGACTTAATACATACATAGACGTTTGATTACAATTCAACACTTTATGTTTTGAGCTAGTAACAGTATCACTACATAAATAAAAATGTAAGTGTGCAGAGATCCACCAGGTTTGGAAATTACTGTTGCATCCTACAAAGCAAGTTGACTCAAGCCATAATACGAGGGCTATTCAGCAAGTAACCTCAGGCGGGCGGTTAACAAAACAAGCAATAAGGAAAAAAAATACATTATATACAAAAAAATACGTACATACTTAAGCTTGGGGGGCATACGGTAACGTAGTTGGTTGAGGCACCGTGCCATAAGCCAGAAGGTCACAGGCTCAATTCCTGATGAGGTCATGGACTTTTATGTATTTACCTAATCCTTCCAGCCACACTATGACCCTGTGGTTGACTCAGCCTCTAACAGAAATGAGTACCAGGGAGCTTCCTGGGGGATAGAGGGCGGCCAGTGCATAAGGCTGACAAGCTCACCGCCATCTTTAAGCTGACTCTCTAGAAAATGTTGGAGCCTCAACATCTCATAACCCTATGGACCTTGAAGGCTTTTTACAGGGATGGTTTTACCTTTAAGTGAGCCGGGATAGCGTAGTCAGTGTAGCAACTAGCTACGGACTGGATGACCGAAGGGTCGTAGTTCGAGTCCCGGTAGCGTCAAGAATTTTCTCTTCTCCGTGTCATTCAGACCAGCTCTGGGGTCCACCCAAGCTCCTATTCAATGGGTACTGGGGGCTCTTTCCCCGGGGGTAAAGCGGCCGCGGCGTAAAGCTGACTACTCACTTCCACCTAGTGCCGAGATCAAGAAATTGTGGATCTATACATCCACTCCCCCATAAGCCATCATGGCATAGTGCTTAATTAGTTAAGCACAAGGACAACTTTGCCTTTTACATACTTAAGCTACTTCTCAACGTAGTCACCACCGGAATTGAGGCACTTGTTGTATCGGGGAAATGGTTTTTATATGTCCATGTCAGAAAAGTCTGCCACCTGTGAGCTCAGCCACGTTTTACCACCTTCCATCAGACCCTTTTTATTGTTGAAGCACTGTGATCCCAGCCAGTTCTTGAGGTACAAAACAAGTGGTAGGTGCTAGAAGTGAGAATAGGTCTGTAAAGAGGGTGGTCAAATAACTCCAAGTTTAAATACTCCGTCAGTGCTCAAGTCCGAGAAGCTGCATGTGGATGCGCATTGTCATGGAGGGGCACTGCACCGAATGTCAGCATTCCACGTCTTTTGTTCTGAATGGCCCCATGCAGTTTATTTATTTGGTATTTATTTATTTATTTTTATTATTAGTGTTTCGCAGCAAACTTCTGACATTATTGTGGTGCCTTGTAGCATGAATTCCACCATCAGCATTCCTATCTTGTCCAAGAAAACAGTTGCTATCAACTTCCGGGCAGACAACGTTCATTTCAACTTCTATGACTTGTTTTGTGAATGTGTGTACATCCACTGCTTTGACTGATCATTGATTTCAACACTCACAAATTAAATTGAAGTTCCATCACCTGTTACTCGTAAGAAGTGATTGAGAATTTTATCGCCGTCTTTGTGGTATCACTCCAAAAAAAGTCAAAGCCAAAGCAATTTTCTGCTCTTACGCTCACCCGTGAGCATCTTTGAAATTTATTTTGCACAAAACTTGCGATAGACTAGTCTAACTGTGATCATTTCATAGAGAGAATTGTGTGAAATTTGTGGGAATTTATTTGAAATTTCTCCAATTATGAAACGCTGTCTTTCACTAATTTTTTGGTTAACACTTTGAACAAGCTCATCACTCACTATGTAAGACCAATCACTTCGCTCTTCATCATGAACATTTGTTAACCCATCTTTGAACATTCTACATGATGTGACATGATCTATGTTTTGTTCATTTTGAGACAGAGTTTTGATTAAATGTCATAATTTTATATGGGTCAAGAGCAGCAATAGGGAGTTTTAAATCTTCTACAATAAAGAGTAATTAAGCATAGGGTAAGTTTGTGCCCTCCATCGTGAAGTAACTTAGATGGCGTTGAAATATTTTCCAAAGCAATCCCACTTCGGACTTTAATGACATAATGCCAGATTCATTTCCTATATAATAAGATGAAGTAGCTCAGGTTCCATTTCTTCTGACTCATTCAGGAGTTTGTTCAGTTGAAATTTCAGAATAGTACACAAAAGAAAAGTGTGGATATGAGTTGCATACAATATGCATCACACTCTGATTATAAGTGAATACTAAATGCTAATGTTATATATTCTAGTCCTTTATTTTCTTTTTATGCATAGACCGCCTACTTTGGGCATGTCCATAAAGTAGTGGACTTCTTCAGCAATATTGGTCTGTCTGTGATGCCTCAATACAACCCAGCTGACTTCATATGTAAGTATAATAATTAATTTTTTAAGTAATTTAATTAAGAATTATCTCAAATGCAATGGAGGCAGAACCTGTCTCAGGACTTGCCTTTTTTTCTACAGAAAATTAATTGGTGCATAAATGGAATATCAGGAACATTATAAAATATTCACAGATATGTAAATAAAAAAGTATTAACATGCGCTTATAATATTGAAGATGATTTTACTGATTACTTTAATTTTTACTTACAAACAATTTCCAAACCTGTGGATAAAAAATTCCATACTACAGCAGGTTGCAATCTGTAAAATGGCTAAAGCCTGTAATGTAGCAAATCCTTAGCAGATAAAGGTACTGTGGAATTCTAAAAGATGAACTTACCAATTTGAAAAACTTAAGTAAGCTAAGTCTTAAGTAAGAAATTCTATTATTTTGCTGTCCACCAGCACAGTCTGATTAGTGTTCAGTGTTACATGTCTTGTGGGTTCTGATACTGAATCATATTTAAAATCTTGCCTCAAAGCAGGCACAGTTGGCTTCCTTCAGTATGAGTCATTACATAAAATGTACTTGCTGATTTTCTAGAAAAGAAAAACTCACACAGACTTGAACAGCACAAAATATACAACTAAGCTATAAGACAGATGGTCTTGCTCCTAGGGCACATTACTTTGTCAAGTTATGAGCATTTTGGATCCACTTTAAAGTGATAACCAGTCAATGAATTGAGGAAATATAAAACAAAATTAAACACGGGACCATAGTCAAAATGGCATTCTTTGCATGGAAGACAATGTGATAACTGTCTGCCTCTATGATGCTTGCAGCATATCTGTGTGGTGGCACAGTTTTAATATTTGTGGAAAAATATTTTAACATATCATTAGAATGAGGCCAGGTATGTCAGCAACCAATTATTTGTAATAATATTGAAATGTCATTAAAGTGAAGGGACATTAAGTATCTGTACATCAGAAATTCTCTTCTCATCCTCAGTCCTCCCCTCCCATCCATTCTCCCATTCTAAATACGAAAACAACACACACATACAAACACGCACTCAACCTTCTGGAACCTAACTTTGTGGCCATGGTGTTGTGTAAAGTTAGTGTGGTTTGAAAACACTGAACATGATTTGCTCTCTTTCAGTGGAGCAAGTAAAGGGGAGTGAGGAAATGAAGGAGAAGATTATAGCAGCTTCCAAAGATGCACGAAGTCTACCTGATTACCCTCAGGAGCTTCTGCCAGGCTACTTCACAAACTCGGTTACCATCTGTGATAAATATCTGAACACCTACCAAGAGAGCCATCTTCACACAAATGGTATGCTAAAGATTTCACTGTTAATAAATTCCAATCTCTACTCTGCATGCAGGATACTGATGTTACTCATATTTATTCCAGTATGTTACAGTTTGAAAATTGCAGACATTGGCTAGAGTCTCATTCTGAAAATAGATCCTTCCTCTAAGTAACATTTCACAAATTTGTTACAGCAAAAAATAGAGGTTTGTGAATTACATTTCCATAATTTAATTAAAAATTTCACATAGTCCTGTTTAAGCCAAGGGCTTTTCATAAAGCTTCAGTTTCATTGCAGTGATAATACATAATACATAATTGTCAATATGATACAGTTTGTATACCTTTCTTACAGTGAGACTCATTCTATTGAAAAATATTTGACTTCGAATTTGGTTAAGTATTAATGATATTAAAAGTTTTCAAATTTAAAATTTTGTGGTCTGTGGCTATAGTGTTTTATTAAACTGACACATACACATTGGACATTACTCATCACCTCACTTACGTTAAAGAAACAGTGTTTTGTAAGCTGTGTCTGCTTCCATTACATGGTGAAATTATGAAACCTACTCAGCTTTGCCCATCACATTGAGCTAATTTTTATATCCAAATAAAAACAGAGCTAATTTCCAAAATGCTGAGTTTCTTTAACTAAACAAGATGATGGACATTACTGAATACATGTATTATTTAAAAACTGCAGATCTTAATGAATTTCTTTATTTTATGTCATGTATTAATTTCTTATGATAACCATTTTTGAGAAAATTTGCACAATTAAATTTCGTCTTAAGCCAAAATATGTGTTATATCGTACCAGTATGAATGAAAATTAAATTTAAGATAACTTTATCTCATTTTATGAGAACTAATCAGTGTAATAATTTATAAAATATGACATGTGAATGGGAAGATATTATTTCCCCTATGTACATTTATTAGGTACATTTTCCATTAAGAAAGCAAAATGTATTGTTACTTTGGAGTGTAAAGTGAGGAACCTTAGAATTCATGGACACCTTTACAGAAAACACGTTTTATTAAACAAGCAGAATAACAGTTTCATTATTTTGAGACTGTTAATGCTATTTCATTTGAATGGGTGTTTTGTAACTGTTCAAATTTATTCTTGTAATATACATGCCTTTTTTTTTCTTCTTTTACTTTGCAAGCAGAAGCCAATGTGTGTGCATGATCTGTTTTATGTATTCGTGTTATACATAAATGGTTTAAATTTTAGGAATCTCATTGTATTTACATTTGGTTTGAACTTATGAATTCTTTTAATCCTTCATCCTGCATGCTTCAGTGTCTCTGTTGATTAAGAATGGTAAGAAAGTAACTTTATGATAAGTCCAGCTGTTGGTTCTGGCCAGTGACTCATGCCAGTGTGGTCAGCTTTTGGGACTCTCAGACTTTCTATGGTAGACAGTAAGCAGCAAATGTGAGAAAAGAAAGATTAGATATTAAGCATTTTTGAAGTGCGTAATTACACAAACTTCTTTGACTTATTTAATTGCATACATACTCTGCATATACCTCAGTGCCATGACTTCTTTGATATGTACAAATTGTAGATACAGTTATCAAGTCTTCTAGCACAGCTCCACTCTAGCAATCATGGTTATGCAGTTAATTCTCTTGCCCTGCTTCTGTGAAAACTGAATTTAATAAGTTAGGATTGTACACCTAGCATAGTTCTGCTGCATTTGCTTGTTATTTATTGCCTCTAGATTTGAGTTCAACAAAAAACTTGTTCAAAAATAATTCAATGTTTCTCAACCAATGAAAAAGGTCGCGCCATATCTCAAGCGGTTAGTCGCTGGCTTCCCACTATGGTGGCCTTGGTTCGATCCAGCATCTGGTTAAGTGGGATTTGTGGTGGACAAAGTGGCGCTGGGGCAGGTTTTCTCTGAATACTTTGGTTTCCCCTGCCAATCTTCATTCCACCAATTGCTCCATATTCACCCTCAACTATCATCTGGGGCTGGTACAATAGGCCAGAATTGGCAGCAGTACAAGGAACTTAGTCCCACCCCACTATCAATAAAAAAAATAAAATTACATTTAGTTATCTTGAAAACCGTAAAACTTGCATGAAAAGTGCACTGGATATAAAATGTGTGTTTCACTTTCCTGTGCAACTTCTGTTCAAAACACTTTTCATTCCAGTAAATATTTAGGGAGTTCATGCTAGATGCCCTTAATATGTGTGTGCAAACACATCTAAATCTTCATGTAAATATTTATTATTATTGTCAAATTTTGACAAAAACTGGAATATCTGACAGATTTCAATAAAACTTCCTAACGTCAAATTTTATAAAAATATGTTCTCTGGTTCTTGAATTGTTATGAATGGAAAGACGCATGGACATAGACAGGCATGGTAAAGCCAATAGGTGCATTTTTGCATATTTTTTTTGCATATATGCCAAAACATAATCATGTTTCAGCTCATACTTAAAAGTTTCATAATATTTCCAGGGTTGTGTTCTGCTAAATTTGGTTGTAATTAGAAGGACCATCAATTACAATGGAATGCGATGAAATATCACATATTCTTAATATGTCGCCATTCCATTACCTACAGATCTTTGTATCATTTTGAATATCTTTTGAACAGGGAATTAATAGGATGATGTAATGGTTATCTAGCTCTGTGTAAGTCCAGTACTCATACATGATACATTACATTTGTTTTAAATGTGGTTTATATGTGCTCACCATGAATAGTCATACTAAATTATGTACTTTTAAGGAAGTTGAATATTTTACTAAATCAGATCACAGTTGGGCAATCCTACTCTTTCAATGTCAAGTTACTTTCTCATCATTGCTTCTTTACATTGTTGAACTGAATCATAAACAGAGAGTAAAAGCAAATCAGGTGATGGTGACCACACTGCATGGTGATGTCTTTCCCCCAGGCCACATTGGCTCCACTAGTTGTCACTGCCAGAAGGATTTGTGGACAGGCTCTAGGAATGGTCATGCTGTTCATCACCTTGGAGCTAAAAAAACGGTCGAAATGTGTGCAGTCGTCGATTCTGGAGCACAAAACAATGTTTACACCACAATAGGTAGGAACCCCCCTTGCACTGCAATAAATCCCTATAGGAATTGATATTTGCACAAACTACCATTTGTAGTTCTTGAGAAAGGATATGTATCCCATCTTTAACATTCAGGATAGATTAAAATTCCTACAAAGACTTCCATATAAAATTAATGGAAATTGCATGAGATCCGAGTTTCTCGTCTGTCAATGTTACCATTGGAATACCATCCTGGAATATGACACCTTGTAGTTTGGTAGGTAGGTAGGTAGGTAGGTAGGTAGGTACCAGTGTTCTGCTCTTCTGTCCAGAAAATGGAGGGTAGCAGGTTATTCTGAAATATTGGTACATATCTCCCAAGCTACATAATCTTAATGGAAATTATTCAGTGATGCACTGAATCTATACAGTAGTTGTGCTTAGCATGATACTCTGTAAGTTTTTCTAGCATGCTGTATTGCTGTTTAAGTGTGATACTGTTCAGGCATTCCAATATTCAATTGCTTTTAGCTTGCTACATACATTTTTAATTTTAGAATATACAATTTAGTTTTTATTTTTTTTTTGTAAATATTGTAATAATCTTCTGTGATGTCTTTCAGCAATGAAAGATGAGGAAGGGAAGACGCTGTGGCTAGACAACCAGAGTCATGCATCATCATCAGTCAGTAGTTCAGATGATGATGTTAGTTGGCAGTGGCCAACCAGCTTCTGGACACAATTCAAGGTATGATCAATGTTCCAAGGTATATATTGTCACGTGTTGGGTTTATATACCGCGACAAATAACTTCACGCCTTATTGGGTATAGCGAATTTTATTTCACATTCGCTCTTACAATCACACAAATTATGATCTCACAATCACTGCTATCTGCAGTATCACAAATGCTACACTGCAAATGCTGGCAACTCGTAACTGCTGCCTTGAGAACTAACTCGTAGGCTTGCTCGGAACTTGAGAACTTGAGAACTAACTTCGGCGGCTGGTACACTTTAACTTGTTCACTGCTGACTGGAGAACTGTCTTAGGCCGCTGATACACTTTAAGTATCCGGGGATGGCTACACATTCAACTCAACTCCGTAGGCAGTGTGGTTCACTTATATAGTTGCAGCGCTTGCCTGTTATGCAGTCGGTACCGCTGTTGGCTGTTACCCATGTCACAGCTGTGTTGCGTGTTATGTCACCACGGAGGGGGGGGGACAGAGCGCTGACTCATCCGCCACGTCACTGCTGGGTAGGGAGGGGTTGTCCTCCATTGCGCAACATGTCACAATATAATGACATAGAAATAAAAGTGTTATACTGTGCAAATTCAGTTCAAGCATGACATGTACATGAATTTTAAAAAAATGAATAAAACAACGAGGTTAAATATGCCTGTGAATTATGACAAATTTATTTATCCTCTTGATATACATTTATGGCAGATACATTTCTGTCATTGTCAGAAATTAATCAACATAGTGCAGAGCCTTAATTGTTTGTATCTCATTAAGTTTCTTAAAATTACATATTTTGTCATATATACATTTTCATATAGTTGTTGCACAAATTATATGCCATTAGTATGGTGATGTCTGTACTTGCTACCACCCATTACCAATTTGTAACGTCCTCTTCAGAATTACTGATCAGATTTTGGTTAAATTTGACATTAAGGGAAAAACAGTTAACGTTGCAAAGAAAATGTGATTTGGATTTTGCATCAGTTAAATACAGATTCTCCATTACATGAAACTCAAATCATACTTTACAAATTTTCTCAGAAATTGCTCATCATGCAAATAATTTGTACAGATTTCATTAAGATTTGTAATTTTTATTTTAAGTATGTTTTATGCAGTGAATATTTAACAAAATAGAAAGAGAAATAATTTGTGACTTTGGGTAGTACAAACAGCTTTGCAGCAATACCAAACAATACATTTTTTAGAAATTTAAATTCTAAGACACAGACAATTCATAATGTCCAAAGGAAATGACCTCACAATGATAATACTCCATTTTAGAATCACATTAACATTTTATATTCATTTATCATTTGCATGGTATGTGTTACTTCCATCATATTCTCCTTAATTTTATTGTCCTAGTAACGTGGTGAAGTGATAGCTGTCTAACATATCTGTTTTTGATAGGTATTGTCACAACGCAACTTCCAAGAGGCTCGGCCAAGGATGCTGTCAAAACTAAACTGGGTGCAGACTGTAGCACTTGGTGTCCTGGCTGGTCTGCTGTGGTTCCAATTAGAACGTAAGGAAGAATCACTTCATGACATCCAGGGCTGGATGTTCTTTTCCACAACGTATTGGATGCTATTTGCACACTTCGGTGCTTTGTCATCATGTGAGTAGCTGTTGAATATTTCTGTAGTGGTTCTAATTAGAGCATAACAAAGAATCTCTCCATCACATCCAGGGCTGGACCTACATTTCCACAACATATTCAGTGCTCTTTCCACACTTCAGCGGATGGTTTTATTGTTACAAATTGTCATGGAAAACCATTCATAGCAAATGCAATATATTGTTTAAACAAATAATTAAACAAGGTATTTGTTCATTAATGAAGAGTATAATTCCAGGGGAGACATATTCTTAAAAATCAAGTAGAATGTGAACCTGTATAATACATATCTTGATGGATTCTTCTTTTCAGTTTTATTTTTTAATTTTTTATGTTAGTGGAATGATGATCNGGCGCCATGTATATGTGGTGTTAACCGACGTTTCGGAGGAACGTATCGCCCCCATCTTCAGGGTTGAAGAAAAAGTATAAGTAAATCTGCAAGCGACAACACCGTGAGACACGGTAAGATGGGGGCGATACGTTCCTCCAAAACGTCGGTTAACACCACATATACATGGCGCCAAATCCCAGAAGACTGCTTTCTTCAAAGTGGATGTTGTGTGAAATTGACCACTCACCACCCACTAATACCGAGGCCAAGAATGGCAGAGCTATACCTCCACTCCCTGTCCATCCTCATGGTGTGGTGCTTAATTAATTAAGCACAGATATAACTTCTTCTTGAGTTTTGTTATATAATAGAGTGAATATCCCGTTTGAATGTTGGATTTGAGGTTCCCTCAGTAGAGACTGAATGTACTTCTGGTACATAATGGCATACAGTCCAGTAGAAGTCCACTGATATTTCACAGGAATGTTGATGGACGTCTGCCAGACTATACAGCATTACATACCAGAAGGTAAGTACCTTCCATCCCATTTGAAGTTTTCTGGTGGGCATAATATTCAGAAAACTGAAACTACAAAATTGAGGACATATATATGGTACTGGATGGGGAGGGTGACAATAAGTGATGGACTGAAAAGAATTTCAAAATAATCAGGATCATAATAATAGAATTTGTATTTCAAAATAACTGGGGAAACTGAGAAAAATGACAGATACCAAGATAACTGGCCTCTAGGCCAAGAATGAAACCTGGGACCTCCCAAATTGAAGACAGGAGCGTTACTCAGGCAGTGTTCAGTATTTAAAACTTTTTCTGCCAATTCCAGATGTCTCTGGGATTGCCATTCTATTCCCCTCAAGCAGAGCATGGAGGCTTTCATTATTTATGCAGTCTGCCTTTCAACATTCTTTCCTTGCAATTTATGCATTAATTGTGTCCTCATTAAGTATTTGTTCTGGTCTTGCATATTTTGAGTAGTGGTACTTTCAGTAGATGTCATGTAAGGACTACAATTCTTTTGAACTCTTTTTATTGGAGTTATTTTGCTGTAAATGATCACCTAACATATATGGAAAGGAACTTTGCTGCCTGTTAAATTAGGTTTAACTTACTTCCTCATATTTTGAAAATGTCCCTCATACTGGAATGGAAAAATATTCAGTGCTTATCAGCTTTAGGTTCAGTAAAACTGCATGAAAATTATTGTGTTATTGTGTTCATATTTAATTTTCAGTTCCCCCAGAGCGAGAAGTTATCAACAAAGAAAGATTATCTGGTGCATATAGACTGTCGGCTTACTACCTTGCAAAGATGGTGGGGGAGCTGCCACTCACAATTACCCTCCCAGCTGTGTACCATCTGATCTCATATCCAATGCTGGGTCTCCATAGCACCGTTGTGTTTCTCACCCTTCTTGGGTTCCTGCTTCTCAACACCATTGTTGCTCAGGTAGGCATCTGCACAACTCAACATTGCAGCCATGTGATATGAGAATTGTAAATGTAAGGAAAAGTATAGGCCTGGGGTAAACAATTGCAGAGATTTCATATATCACAGTCCTGTTTTCTGGCAAAGCCTGTACAGTTTTCATATTATTTTGTATAAATCACAGTCCTTAGAGGCCTCAGTGCATGCAATAAAGCGTATACACTAGCAAATATTTCCACCGAACAGCTCATCATTGCAACTTCTCTTGACCATCACAGATAGCTCACTGTTGACTATGTTTCATCTCTCACATTATGATGCAACTAGCTATATATTTGATTTAAAAGTTTCTTGTGGTCCCCTAATGCACATTTAGTGCATTTCAGTACAGTTAGACAAACAAGAAATTGAATAGTTATACCTGCATATGGAAGTACATCTTTTTTTCAGGATTGATACTGTATATTGATAAAGACTTCAAACTAATTTAAAGTAAGTGTGATTGAGAGCTACCTGAAAATCGTAAAGTCAGTCAGGCAGACAGATGCTCTCATGTCAACTCAGGCCTGGTAGGAGTAGTAGTGGATTTTACAAACCAAGAATCTACAAACATAACAATTTTGCTTCAATATCACTCCAGTAAATTCCAGTAAATAACTGAGTGGCTACTGTGAAGCAACCTTATGCATTTTGTGCCAGATGATGTGGATGATTTTTAAACCTGTCTCCTGTGTAAGGTGTCTGAGGAATTTTTAGGAAGAATATGTAAACCTATCACCCATTTCATCCAATTCTGTTCAACAAGCACTCAATACTTTTTTTCTTTTCTTGATGTCAAATAAGATAAAGCTAGTCTTAACCAATTCATTAATTTGTTTGTGATTAACTGAATAGTCTTTCGGTTTATATATATATATAATCTTCCCTGATTACTTTTACAGAACCATTTTTCATGAGATTCTATACTGAAACAATCGCTGTTCCAATGTATTACTCACATGTGTTATCTTGACAAAAGAAATACAGTGACTGATTAATAATAGAGGAAGCTGTGTTCTCTGTAGATCCGACCAACCCGCCACCAGACTGGCTGGATAGCAATCACGTGATATGTGTTTACTGTAGGTCCGTATCTGTTCAGCGACTATATAAGTAAGAATGACATCAAGGCAGTTACAAGTGAGCAGTAGCGGCAGAAGCACACAAACAAGAGGATAGCAGTAAGATGGAGAAATACAGCAAGCAAGTAGTAAGCTTGAGGAGTGCAGAAGAGTACAAGAAGTCAGTCTGTGAAGATTTAACATGTGACTCGAAGACTTTATGTGTGCTATAGCACAGTGATATTGGGAGGGTGTGATTTAGTGAGACTTTTGTAGTTCCTGTGTTATAAATCCATTGCCAGGAAACAGATAGTGAAGACTAGTGTAAATAGACTGAGAGGATTAATGTGGAGTGATTGTAAATTGTGTAAATCAGCAAGTGTAATAATTACTTGTAGTTACGACCTGTAGGTGGTTAATAGATCTAATTGCCAATCTGAACTCCATCTTTAGTCACTGTGACACGTGACAGTATATAAGCTCACTTCACAGTATCTGTTCAAAAACTTACTGAAGATGACTTGTAATGTGTAGCCTACAAGCTTTTGGTTTGTCAAGTATTCTACTAGTCACCTGATGTTGATATGAGAAGCGTGTCTCTCTCCCACCTGAGCGGTCAAACAGCTTTCATGTACCTCTCAGATTATAACAGTGTTTCATACAGGTGAGACAGGAAATGTCTGAATTTGAGAAACAAATTTGAGTTGTGCTGCAATGTGAGAGCTTCACCATACCCAAATGGAGAGAGATGCATTGTGACCATGAAAGGGTTAAGTGTAATTTCCATTAAGTGTATGTGAATGCAAGCATGAATATCCCATCCACAAAACTGTCACTGCCAAAAATTTTAAGCAAATAAGTGGCTGATAAAACGACACGTTGCAGAATAGGATCTTATAAGAAACAGCACAAAGGAGCTGTATTGAATTTAGAGTCTCATGCACTGATAAAAATTCTTAATTTTTTAGAGTGTTGGGTTCTTCGTGGGAGCATCTTGCATGGACATGCAGGTATCCATCACTATCAGCGCCCTATACACGCTGGCTACACAGTTGTTTGGAGGATATCTGGCAACAAACATCCCTAATTGGCTTAAGTGGATGCAGTATTTGAGCATGGTCCATTATGCCTACCAGAACATGCAGATTGTAGAATTCAGTGAAGGTACACCAATAAAGTAAGTAAAATAATTTGTTGTTAAAGTGATTAGATAGCCATGATTTGATTCCCATAGAGATACTGGAAGTTTTCCCTTCACCTCTATAAATAACATGGCTCCAGGGCTCACATATTCTCCTGTCCTGGGGAAAAGTAACAAATGTGACGCTTCCCAGCTGGTACCATAGATCAGGATGAATGGAGTGTTAACTTGTGCATTCCTTTTTCCTTCATAGCACAATTGTTAGGCTCAGGGGATTTTTTTTAACTTTCAGTTTGCTCATACAACAGTTTATGTAATACCAGTCTGAACATTAATTCAGTGGGACCTACTAAAATATCAAAAGGCTTTTGTATTGCCAGAGTAATAATAATGTTGGAAAGGATGTATTCAGTAATTAACCTACTACAAAAATTTCCTAATTACATTATTTGCAGTTTAAACTTGCAGCGTGTTCATAAAAGTGCACCTGTGTCCTTAACATAAAGTAGGCTTTGTCATGGATCAATATGGCTGAAAACTGAAATTTCCTGACAATTGTTATTAAAAGTCTTCCCTTTCAAATTTCAACAGAATTTCTGCATCAGTCTACAGGACACAAGCGAAAGTCTGTTTAAGCCATGTGTAAAATAAGCTAGTCAGGGTTTCTACAAATCAAAGTGGCTAGCTAATGTCATGCAATGCTCTCCTAAGTTGAAAGTCTAGTCAATGTGGCTAAAAATCAAACAGGCCAAGTAATGTTATGCAATGCTCTCATCACCAGAGGTTGATAAATGGTTCAGGATAAACATGAAATCCATTTATGGTGTTAAGTAAACTGGATTTTTTATGGGTCACTATGGCTGAGAATTAGAACTCCTCAGGACCTTGCAGCAGAAGTTTCTCACATTGAATTATAAATAAATGTGTACAGTAGTGTAAGCAATGTTACCACATCACAGACAGACAGCTGAAGAGGCATGGCTACCATGTAAGACATCATTTTTTTAATTTATAAAGAATCCCTAACATTTTAGAATAATATTTAGTGGTTAAAAAATGTTAGTCTTCATTAACCACATTATCATCATATCAGATGCTGAATTTTGATGCACTCAGCTCTGATTTATGATTGGAAGTCACGACAAATTCTGAATACACAATTCAGATATTCACACGTAACCATGTATGCAGTATTGCTGTAAGCATGGTAGAGTACAGCATATCTTCAAGGATGAAATTTATGAATGAGTGTAATATATAATTTTGCACCAAATCTTGCAGATGTGCAGCACAGTCCAAGTTTGATGTCTGCACCACCAACTCTTCTTCTCACATTCCGGTCTCTGCCATCCTGGAAGCACAAGGTGCCAGCTTACCTCTGTGGGCCAACACAGTAGTGTTACTTCTGTTCCTCCTCATATTTCGGATTCTTGGCTACATTGTTCTACGGTATTTCCGTCGACCAAAGTGACGTAGCAAACTGTAAGCGTGACAGTTTATGAAGAGAGCCACTATAGGTATTGGTTTCCGGACAGGAGAAAATAAGTATGGCTGTGTTATTGTAAATGTTTTGAGCAAGTCCTTGTTTCTTGTGTCCCAGACAGGTGGTGAAGGATAACTGCCACGTTGCAGTCTCATTCCTACTCAAGAGTGCTATTTGTAGTGCAAAGAAAGAGAAGACAGATTCTAGCAGTGCCTTTGAATGCAAAATATGTGCCAAGAAGCAAGAGGAACAGCCTAAGGAGCGGCACCAAGTGGTTTTTCAATGCAGTACAAGTGTTCATAAACAACAATCATAAAAGTGCTTGATCTAGGTAGACTTCATTTCAAGTTCGTCATCGTGTTCCGTTTTTATACCCAACAAATGCTTGACATTTATAAGAAAACATACGTCTTTGATTTTTTCGCAAGAAAATCCCACCTCAGTACCATTCATTCTACTCATCATATACAAAGAAGAAGAGACAGACTCTGTAAAATTGAGGTATTGCCCCTGTCAGATGTTACCGTGTAAAATTTGTCAGTAATGTAGCATGTTACTGTAGCTTACAGAGCAATATGTATCCTTATAACAATGTACCATACATTTGGCAGCATGTTTTTAATAAGTACCATAGAACTATATCAGAGGGAAATGCAGGGAATTTTGTTTATGTAATTAGTATGAAAGATTGATTCTGTGAGTCAGTGGACTGGTGTGTTTCGACATTTTGAGTCGAGCAACTCTGACACAGACATAGCTCATGTATTTCTATCCAGACCTCATGAGTATGGCAGGAATTTGTACAGTTGCCGAAGCAATGCAGATTATTATTGGTAATTTATTTTGTACTTGGTATGTATGTGCTGTGTGTCCATGCACCATATGTTTGTCTCAGGACTACGAAATACGTCACAGCCCTCAAAGCCAGTTGACTATCCAACAAGGTTGTACTGGGCTTTTCCCTCTCTGTCTCACAGCAGTTCCTTCCTCTTTCCTTCCCCTCCACATACAGTAAAATATTTTCTCCTTCTTCCATTATCCTACACATGCAACAGAATGTAAGCAGCCTTGCTCTTTGTCAGTATCTTGAAAACTATGTTATTCAAAATGTGAATTTTTTTCATAAATGAAAAGACAAAAATAGTAAACCAGATAACCTAGTCCATTAGTGTTTTTGAGAGCAAACTGCTGAAATTATGCTATTTATATTCAATAAAATCTGTTATTGAAATAGTATGTATGTTTTAATATCTTCTGAATAATGCCTTACATGCTGCAGTATCAGCATTCCTATAATATGAGCTACTTTTACATTTTTAATCTTTAACTGAAAGGCAGGGTATGAATGACATAAATTTCACTACCATCAATTCAAACTTCATAAATGATGACATAACACTGTAAAAGAAATATTTTTGTATTTTCATGTATTACTTGTATGTATAAAAATCATTTTCTTTTAAATAGAAAGTGTGAGTATGAGATCTGAAGTTTCCATGGAAGTGACTATGTAGGCTGCTATCTTTAGGGATGTGACACTATGCAGTCTGGTAGAAATTTACCAACATCTTGGAGGGACTCCTTCAGTGTCAAAGTGTAAACTGAGCAAACAAACAAGCAAGCAGCTTTTCCCAAGCAGTATGTTCCTCTGAAATGTCTATAACATCTACCAGACTATAAGGCATCACATCCCAGAAAATAATGCTCTTCAGAAACTGTGATTACTTCAGAAAATCTGCTTTTAAATTATTGCTAGCCAAGAATATAGATTAACAGTAAACTCCATTGCGTTTCTTCTCATGAAGGTGAATATTAAGATTGTGGTCCTCTGAGACATGTGTCTATTTTGTTGGTAGGCAGTGGTGTTTCAGAGGAACCTGCTGCTTACAGGATAGAATATGGAAGCATGACATGTCATCTCAGGAGACTTTAATGTTAATTCACATTTTCTTTAATTTACTTTTTCCAGTGAACACCTCTAGTGCATTTTAGGTAAGTATGTTGATAGAGTCCTCCAGAAGAAATAGGGTGGGCCTGCATACTGCATTTATTTGAAATGTCTGTGGACTTCAACCAGACTACACAGCATTACAACAGAGATGATTGTACTATTCATGAAAGATGATGATTTAATCTTTGATTATGAATCGAAGAGATCAACTACATACAATAAACAGACCAACAGGTTTGCAGCAGCATTGCTTAAATATTTTGTGAACTAATAAAATGTAAAACATGAAGTAGATATCTTTACTCTGTTTCTCCAAATTTAGCTTTAACAAATATTGTATGTGATTCTTGTTTCTTTGACACATGCAGATTACAAATATGTAACATAAACTTTCCAGGGTCTAACTTCATCTTATGTTGAAGCTGTTCAAATGTTTTAGTACACATTGGAGTCACCATCTCCAGTTCTTTCCTTAAGTAACTATTTTTGCAGTTTGAGCATTCAGATTCTTCTGATCCATGGGGACATCAGATTCAGTGAATACAGTTTTTGCAACTGTTTAACCCTTAGAAGTTTGAAGTTCATTTAAGCAACATTCGATAATACAGTTCATACTACAAAAAAAAATACATCTCCATTACAGAGACTAACTGGGTAATGCTGCTTAAGGAAATAATAGCTGTTTATTACAGAAATTGTATGAAATACACTGTACACTGTGTTGGAAAATTTTGGAGTTTTTAATGTTAAAATTGGTGCTATTGAAGTTACTACTGTACTGTATATGGGATACTGGTCTCATGAAGTCAATATAATGACAATGTTATACTTCTTTAAAGGTCATTAGCTTTACATCCTCAGTGATTAACAATACTGTAAATAATTTTGTGTGTAATGCAGATTTGCATGCCCTAAACATCTTAACTTAGTTCTTAACCATCCAGGTTACATTGAATCTTTTACATGTTATGTATTCAATTTAATGACAGAACTGTTTATAGCCCTCATATCCAGTTTATTCATGTATGTACTGCTTAATGTCCTATATTTGATGAGCTCCTTTACAGTCATCAGTTACTCAGTATTTTAGGTTTCAGATATCTCATAGGTTGAGATGCTCTTGCATCTCTGAACACTCATCAACTGTATTATTCATTCCAGGAAATGATGTACCATAGTGCGAAGTTGGTAGAACTTGAAGGTTCGTAACTGTGTTCACAAGAGCCTGCCAATGGCCCCTCTCCAATCCACAAGCATGTTCACATATGCATGTGCACCAATACTATTTCCCTGTGATATATTTTAATATTATCCTCCCATCTGATTCTAGGTCCTCCTAGTGGTATCATGTTTTCCTACCAAAACCATGTGTGCATTCTTGTCTGATGCACACCTGACCAGCTTAACCTCCTTGACTTCATAATTCTAATATTTAGGTAGGAGTGTAAGGTATGAATCTGCCACATTAGGCAGTTTTTCCAGTTTTCTATTAGTTCATTCCACTTCATCAGCACCCTGTTCTCAGTGTATGTATTTTATACTTCCCTTATTGTGAGAAACTAAGTTTCACACCATACGAAGCTACAGGCAAAATTACAGTCTTCTGTGTTCACACACTGTAATAACAATTCATTATCACTTTCAAGACTGCTGTATCTATGACACACAAACAATTAATACTCTCAAAGTTAACACATCGACTACTGAACTGCCTTCAACAACATATTCCTGATGAATCCTTGAATCCTCCAGCTTACAATTGCTGAACTGAAATGAACTGCTAGTGTTATTCTGTAAACTTTGTTATATAGCCTCTGCATGTACCACGCACAGAATACCCAGTTCTGTTGTTGCATAAGGAACACCACACAGAGAACAAGTCACGTGATTTCTAGCTAGCCTTTTCATTGGTGCGCTGTTGCTTAGTAACATTCGTCCACTGAGACACACTTCCATTGTTGCATGTTGACCGTGTTTACCATGCCATTGCCTAGAAACGCTTTGAGGAAATCCGTTACAATATACAACATGCAGGGATGTGTTAAAGAGTACTGACACTGGGAATAGATGTTTTTCTCTGTAGTATCTGTGCACTGCATTTATCACAGTAGTTCTGCAACTATTATAGCCACAAGGCCCCACCATTACTCAAGCGGTTAGTCGCTGGCTTCCTATGCGGCGGCCTGGATTCGATCCCAGGTCTGGTCAAGTGGGATTTGTGGTGGACAAAGTGGTGCTGGGGTGGGTTTTCTCTGAGTACTTCAGTTTCCCCTGCCAATCTTCATTCCACCAAATTCTCCATCATCATAATCACCCGGGGAAGGTACAATAAGCCAATCTGTGGCTGCCGTGCCGAGTGGACCCAGCTGGACTCCACCCCCCAGTAAGCGAATTTTAATTTAATTATAGCCACAATGACGTGCGATTTGGAGGTTTTGTTCCCGTGATAGCAATGTATCTTTACATTGCATCAACTGTGGGAAAATAAATATATACACATAAAGTAATATAGTTTTATTTGCAACAAAAACATTATAAACTGTTTTCATTTTAATGCTTGTTTACTACTAAAACATATGTTAAAAATATTGGCGATTTTTTCGTACACATGAATTGTCCAGTGACTTCTACGCGGTAAGTTATATCATGTAATTTTCCATTTATGAGTTTTCACCTTACAAACATTTTTCATGGAAGATAGCGTAGTCGGTATAGCGACCGGCTATGGCCTTTACGACCGAGAGGTCGGAGTTCAAGTCCCAGTAGGGTCAAAAAATTTTACTTCTCCGTATCCAGAACGACTCTGAGGTCCGCCCAACCTCCTATACAGTGGTTACCGCGGGCTTTTCCCTGGGGTAAAGCGGCCGGGGCATGAAGCTGACCACTTACCTCCAACTAGTGCCAAGGTCAAGAAAATGTGTATATACGTCCACTCCCCCATACGCCTTCATGGTGTAGTGCTTAATTAGTTAAACATATGTAGAACTTTATCATATCTTACAGGTTGCATCCTGGCTCCCTGGACGACCGCTCTGAACCGTCAACAGCAAAGATTTACCAGGGAAGAAACAATCGAACAATTCGATTGTTACAACTATCGAATAATTCACATATTTAAAGAAGAATCGAATTTTCTGTTCATAATTCGCTCATTATTCAGCTGAGGAAGAGGTTAGGGGGAAACGTCTTGTAAAGGAAAGTAAACTATAGTAACTAATAATGGATTGTGGAATGAGGTTCGTTTCTTATTTTCTGCAACACATTAGCAAGTTATCACTAAGAACGACCATCCATAGTCCTAGATTACAGTTCATTCGCTGCGAAAGTATAGCAGCGGAAAAATTAGTGTATTCAGAATATGGAGATCCCGTGAAAGTTGTTCGTCAAGAGAAGGAAAAGTTGCCGGCTCCCAAGGAAAATGAGGTGAGCAGTTATATATTAAGAGGTTTCATTGGGGTTACGTTGATTTAGAAACTACTAAATTCGTATTAACTACAAGTTTTAGCTATAATAACTTAATGTTGGCGTATGGCAGGATTAATTAAGTTAGAATGTACTGAAGTCTAGTAACGAAAGATACAATAACAATTCAGTGTCGGATTAGTTAAGAATGATCTATCTTTTTATTAGAAAGTCGTGCTTGATTTTAGTAATATGGTTGGGTTTTGGACAGGATTATCAAAACATGTGTATATGCAAGATATTATTCAGGATGCATGAGAATTTTTTTTTATCTGTGTATTACATAAGTCTTTTCCCATTGTATAATGGACATTTATGTCTTATTTGCAGATTGTAGTTCGAATGTTGGCTGCCCCTATTAATCCAGCAGATATCAACACAATTCAGGGAGTGTATGCTATAAAACCTCCACTTCCATCAATACCTGGGAATGAAGGAGTTGGAGAAGTTATAAGTTTAGGAACAAAAGTGACAGATCTCAGGAAAGGAGACAGAGTGTTGCCTAGAGCTAATGCTTGGGGTACATGGCGAACACATGCAGTCTGTGATTCAAAAGAAGTGATGAAAGTAAGTTGTTGATGTCACATCATCTCTGTGCATGAGCACCATACTACTGTGGTATATAGGGACAGAGAATTCCTTTTTATTTCCAGCTTCCCTCAAACTAGCTACAGTGGGTTATTAATGTGAAAACAAAATGCACACAAGCTGTTTAAGAAAATATAAAACCCATACTGCCTCTTGTTTCCATACATATACTATGAGATGAGATGTTAAAGAATGTAGTCCAGTGGATGTCAAGCACCATTTCGGAAGAACATCAGCAGGCTCTTCTCAAATGTTGGTTTTATTTATTTGTAATTACATTTCATAGATCCAGTTGTTACCCAGTAGGGGTNTTTGTTGTGCCACCAAGGCAGCCCACATTTGAAATTTATTGAGAAAGTTACATACTTAGAAAAAAACCTTCGATAGTTCCCCTTTGTAATAGTGTAACCCATATATGTGTATAATAAATGCTTTCTGACATAATTATTTTATTTTGGATACCTTTCATCTGGACACCCTGTATTAACACTGGATTTTCTTCATGTCTCTACGAGACCTCTGAACAAAATTAGGCAACAATTTCCCGCCCAAGTAGTTTCCAGCGCCTCTGGTAGATGGGGGAAATATCAGGTACCGACGGCCGACCTCGTTGGCTGAACCGGGCTGATAGCACGCACCAGTACCGGTAGGGTATGGGAACAGTAGAAATTAAAGG